TTCAGTCAGCCCTCTTATCTGCAAGATCTGCATACGAGGATTAAACCAACCACAGATCAAGAACAATTTTTTTAATTTATATCCTTACTGGACATGTGAAGATTTTTTTTCTTTTTATTATTTCTTAGATAATAATGTAACAACCATTTACACGGCATTTACTTCATAAGGATTATAAGTAATCTAGAGATGATTTAAGGTATAGAAGAGCATATTGTATGTAAATACTACACCATTTTATACAAGAGACTTGAGCATCCTCTGATTCTCATATCCATGGGGTGGTTCTTGCAACCAGTCCTCACAAATACCAAGGGGAAACTCCACTTTCTTGAGTTCCTTGGCACAGAGGCTGCCCCAGGTTTTCTGGCACCTGGCCCCAGGGAGACTAAAGTGAGTGCATGGCAGTGAGTGAGGGAGTGCAAGAGAGGTGATCAACATACAAACTTAATCATCTGCTCAGCTCTGAGAATCTACCAACTCCTAGCCCATGCCACAATACTGGATCAAGACAGCATTTCAAAGAAAAAAGATATTATATAGGGAGCAGCTTCTTGAATGGGACTGAGAACCACCCTACCATCCAGTGGCCCCAAGTCCAAAGCATGGCATGACACTTATCCATTTAGTTTTGTCTCTCCTTTATTTGTTTAATAACCGCAATGGCATCCTGTTCTTGTCAATCATTATACTCCAGGACCCAGCACACAGGGTGTTTAATAAATATTTTCTCAATGAATTAGTAAAATATAAAAATAAAGAATCAGCCGGCACCGTGGCTCAATAGGCTAATCCTCCACCTTGCAGCGCCGGCACACCGGGTTCTAGTCCCGGTTGGGGCGCCGGATTCTGTCCCAGTTGCCCCTCTTCCAGGCCAGCTCTCTGCTATGGCCAGGGAGTGCAGTGGAGGATGGCCCAGGTGCTTGGGCCCTGCACCCCATGGGAGACCAGGAAAAGCACCTGGATCCTGGCTCCTGCCATCGGATCAGCGCGGTGCGCCGGCTGCAGCGGCGGCCATTGGAGGGTGAACCAACGGCAAAGGAAGACCTTTCTCTCTCTGTGTCTCTCTCTCACTGTCCACTCTGCCTGTCAAAAATTAAAAAAAAAGGAAAAAAATGAAAAAAAAAATAAAGAATCAAATAGAGTACCACCTGGATCTAAGGTGGGGGGAAGCACCTATATTTAAAAAACATATCTTTGGGAAAATCTCAGCACACATAAAATGAAGACAAAAGTAAGGACTCTAAAGTAAAAATTGGTGTCTAACTAAACTAGGTATTAAGTTGCTATGGGAAAAATTAATTCATTTGAGGAAAGATGAGAAGGGTATAACAGAGACTAATTAAAATTTAGTTTATCAGATTTTTCTCAGGAGGTTGGCAATTTAGTCAGAGGAAAATCTTATTTAAGTGCATAAGTATATTTCAGCTTATAAGTGTGATGCATGATAAAATGAAAACAGAGGATACCAGTATGTGTTAAGTAATTGCCATCTTAGAATTTGATATGCTTTAAAATTCTATGGCTAGAAAACAAAGAGTCTCAGGGCAGATGTTTGCAGCTATCTCAGGATGATGAATTTTTAAAACACCAATGTGTGAGGTTATCAGTGGCTTTCATGTCCCTGACACTGTTAGGCACTTTTGGTATTCATCTGATCTATAATGACACATGGGACTCCTCCACCCAGGAATTATTCTCTTCTCTTGGCTTCTTTATATCCCTCTCTCCCAAGTTTCTTCCAGTTCTCTGGATGATTCTTTTTTGACTTCATTATGGTCCCACCTCCTCTATCCCATCTTAAAGAATTGGTCCTGGTCCTCAATGACTCCTCCATCTACATCCCTTTGGAAGTCCTCCCCATCTTCCCTGGCTATAGCTAAAATCTCTAACAACTCCCAGTTTCATCTCTCATTCAAGGTAATGAACATGACTTCCAGAGTCCACACTCTCAAATAAGCCAAATGCTTTAAAACCCTAGTGCTTCCACACCTGACTCAACATGCTCATCTGTGAAATGGGGGTTAGAAATAATAACGTGACAATGTTGTGAAAGTTCATCTTGGACTGGCCAGCACCTGCACAGAGTTAAGAGCTCAACAGTAGTTGGCCATCTGTGTCACTAACTTATCTTGTATGTTGTGGTGGAATGAGAAGGCCATGCCAAGATGGCCGCTGGCAAGTGAGTGTCAGTTACTCAGGAATGGCTTTGAAACCCATCTGGCAACGGAGCCTGCCTGGCAACAGGCTGTGATTGGATGGCTTTGAAACCCACATGGCAAATGGAGCCTGCCTGGCAACAGGCTGTGATTGGATGGCTTCGAAAAATGCCTGGCAACAGGCTGTGATTGGTTGGGGCATAGACCGCCCTTTGACCGGATTGGCTGGTCTTGGCTATATAAGCTGTTGTACTAACTGAAATAAACGAGTCTGCAGGCTGCTTGCCTCAAGCCAGCTTTCACCCGAATCCCGGGGTCTGTGTGGTGACTCCACGCCTCTTGCCGCCACCACACTCCTCCTCTCAGAAATGAATCCACTGCAACATTGTTGAGAAATCAACTACAACAGTGTGTCTCTGGATGCCATGACAGATCCTGATCTCCACTGCAGCCACAATCTCTCTCCCCCTGACCTGGTCACAGTCCCTAATTGGTTCTGTTTCTTCCCTCAGCTTCTCCCCTTCCCGCTTCAGTAAGCACTCTCCATAAAAAGTGGGCAAAGCTGGGTTGACCAGAGCAAAGATTAGATTACTCTGCAGCCCAAAGCACCACCTCTGTTTGACCTTCCAGCATCGTTCATTTTCATCTCGGCGTTTTTCAGGTATTTCCAACAATAACTGCCCACTCATTCCTCCTGGAGGATGTTTCACACTTCAGAATCCTGGGGAGCCAGCCCAGACTCCTCAAGCTAAGCGGTCTCCTGGATTTCTTGAATTCCACAACAACACTGTGACTGCAACTGGTGGTTCAGCAGTGAGCAAAGCAATCACATTCCTCTACTTCCCAGTGGAGAGGAGGATATCGCTTTTAAACACACATCCACTAATGCAGATGGGGTCTCAAGCCATAGTAAATGCCTTTAATGGAAAATAAGGACATTTTTAGGGTGTTAAATAGGGAATCCTGGTTTAGATTTAGGGTTTAGGGAGTGTCTCTCAAAAAAAAAAAAAAAAAAAAAGATGTCTCAGTTCATTTTATGTTACTATAACAAAATATCTGGGGCTTAAAAGAGAAGTGAGATTAGTTTAGCTGAAAGTTCTAAGATCAAGAAGCTTCAGTTGTTGGCCTCTGATGAGAGCTTTATGAGAGATGGCTTTACAGTGGGAATGTGACAAATAAATTATGTGGCAAGATAGGAAACAAGGAGATTCAAAGACAAGGCTCACTCTTTTTTTTACAACAACCAACTCAGGGAAACTAATCCCAGGTCCCTCAAAAATCTATCACAATGCCTTCTTAGGGTAGCATGCTCAGTGATTTCACAGCCTCTTTAAGCTTTCACCACCTCAACACCACCACACTGAGGACCAGCTTTCCAGCACATGAAACTTTGGGGGGCACACTCCGACTCTACCCATGCCATAGAAGAGAATACCCAGAGCTGAGAACCAAAGGATCGGTTGGAGTTAACCGTAAGCTAGACTGATACCAGAGCTCCAACACTGAGTGGCATCGAGACCCCGTCCCTGAGATCTGATCTGAAACATTGAGAAGGCAGAGGAGTAAATGCTGTTAGGAGTGTGAGGAAACATAATGGAATAATCACCAAATCTAAGCACTCAAAATTATTCATGTCATTTTACTGAAGATTACAAAAAAAATCTGCTTTTCCCTTAAATTTAAACTCAAAACTTTGCACAGACAACAAAAGCAAAGGTATTATACCAAACTAAAAATAAATAAGTAAATAAACTTGGCCTAGCAAAGGAGACAATCAGCAAAGTGAAGAGACAACATATTAAACGGGACAAAGTACTTGTAAACGATCCATCTCATAAAGGGGCTAATATTGAGAATATGTAAGGAACGCAAACAATTCAAATAGCCCAATCTAGTAAAAAGAATAACCCAAATAAGAAATGGGCAAGAGATCTGAATAGACATTTCTTTAAAAGAAAACATATAAAGTGGTCAACAGGTATATGAAAAATGCTCAATATCACTAATCATCAAGGAAGTTCAAACTAAAACTACAGTGAGATATCATACCTATTAGAATTGCTATTATCAAAAAATAATAAAAATAACAAGTATTGGTGCAGATGTGGAGAAAATGTTTACACAGTATTGATGGGAATGTAAATTAGAACCACAATTACAGAAAACACTATGGTACTTCCTCAAAAAATTAAACATGAAACTACCATATGGTCCAGCAACCCCATTACTGAGTATACACTCAAAGGGATTGAAATAAATATGGAAAAAGGAATGTTTGCACTTCCTTATTCATTGTTGCATATTCACAATAGCCAAAATATGGAATCAAGCTAGGGGGATGAATGGATATAGAAGGTGTGGTCTGTATACACACAATGAAATACTATTCATTGTGTTAAAAAAATTAGAAAAATCTCAACATTTCTGGTAACATGAATGAGCTTGGAGGACATTATGTTAAAACAAAGCAGGCATAGAAAGACAAATAATCTCTCTTACACATGGAATCTAAAGCACTTAAACTTGTAGAGATAGAGAGTACAGTGGTGGTCACCAAGGGCTGGATGGAGGACAGGGGGAAGGTGGGGAAGGTGTTTCTCAAAGGATGCAAAAGTTCAGTTAGTCAGCAGGAATAAGTTCAAGAGATCTGTTGTACAATAATATGTCTACAGTTAATAATAATGTATTATATTCTGAAAATGCTGACAGCAGATTTTTAATTATTTTTAAATTTTATTTAAGGAATAAAAACTTCATGCATTTTGTAAGACAGTAGATTTTAAGTGTTCTTACCACAAAAAAGTACATGACATAATACATATGTTCATTAATTCAATTTTGTCAACCCACAATATATACATGGTTCAAAATATCATGCTTTATATCGTAAATATATTCATTTGTGTTTATCAATTTTAAATAATATCAAATCAAAACTCTAGGGAAATGGGAATCACACTTCAGAAAGAGAGCACACATCAACTTAGTCATAAGAGCGATCAGTGGGCTGAAGTCACCTTTCATCTGGGATCCAGGCCTGGCTGCCCCAGGGGTCTGATGCTTGTCTATAAAAATTTGAAGTGCAGCTTTGAGGACCAACACATAATAAAGGATCAATAAAGAGTAGCTATCCATAATAGTAGCTTTGACATTGTCAATTGAATTAAAAGTTTCTCTGGTGACTCTAAAATTTCTGGGATCCCAGGATCATTCTGAGTGCCCAACCATGATCTTGGGTGATGATGACAATCTGAAGCTGAAGTTGACTGGAGGAAGTTTTCAGGTGTGCAATCCTATGGGAGACAAGGATGTGAAGAGTTAATTGCTTCAACCTATACAACATGGGTATCATGTAGATAGCTTTGGTATTTGAGGGGAAAGGAAGAAAAGTATCCTGTGGTGTATGTTAAACCTCTTGCAGTAATGAGGGCAGCACTGGTTAAGGCTTCCTTGTACAGGCATTGCTCTCTATACAGCTTCCAGACTATGGCCCATGAATCAAACCATCATGTGATGGAGGCCAGGACCACCAGAGAGCTCCTCTTGGGTTGCTGGCTGGGACAAGAAGCTGAGCAGGAAATCAGGAAACCTAAAAGTGAGTTCTAATCTCGGCCCCAGGAGGCTATGACTTTGCAGGTGTGTACCAGGTAACCTGTCTTTTAGCTCCACCTCTCTTTCTAGCTCCAAGCACTATGCAATGACGATCTGCTAGATGAGATGTTCAAGAAGGGGAGGGCGGGCCGGCGCTGCGGCTCACTAGGCTAATCCTCCGCCTAGCGGCGCCGGCACACCGGGTTCTAGTCCTGGTCGGGGCGCCGGATTCTGTCCCGGTGGCCCCTCTTCCAGGCCAGCTCTCTGCTGTGGCCCGGGAGTGCAGTGGAGGATGGCCCAGGTGCTTGGGCCCTGCACCCCATGGGAAACCAGGAAAAGCACCTGCCATCGGATCAGTGTGGTGCGCCGGCCGCAGCACGCCGGCCAAGGGGGCCATTGGAGGGTGAACCAACGGCAAAGGAAGACCTTTCTCTCTGTCTCTCTCTCTCACTGTCCACTCTGCCTGTCAAAAAAAAAAAAAAAAGAGGGGGGGGGGGAGGGCGGACAGCTTGTGGCATGGTGGGTTAATCCTCCACCTGCGACACTGGTATCCCATCTAAGCACCAGTTCTAGTCTCAGCTGCTCCGCTTCCTATCCAGCTCTCTGCTAATGTGATAACGTGCCTAGAAAGTAGAGGAAGATGGTCCAAGTACTTCGGCCTCTTCCACCCATGTGTGAAACCTGGGTGAAGCTCCTGGATCCTGGTTTAGGTTTGCTCAGCCCCTGCCATTGCAGCCATTTGGAAGACTGAATCAGAGGAGAAAAGATCTCCCTCTCTCTCTCTCTCTCTCTCTCTCTCTCTCTCTCTCTTTCTCTGTTGCTACCTCTGTATGATTCTGCCTTTCAAATAAATAAATAAATCTTTTTTTTTTTTTTTTTGACAGGCAGAGTGGACAGTGAGAGAGAGAGACAGAGAGAGAAAGGTCTTCCTTTGCCGTTGGTTCACCCTCCAATGGCCGCCGCTGCAGCCGGCGCACCGCGCTGATCCGATGGCAGGAGCCAGGATCCAGGTGCTTTTCCTGGTCTCCCATGGGGTGCAGGGCCCAAGCACCTGGGCCATCCTCCACTGCACTCCCTGGCCATAGCAGAGAGCTGGCCTGGAAGAGGGGCAACCGGGACAGAATCCGGCGCCCCGACCGGGACTGGAACCCAGTGTGCCGGCGCCGCAAGGTGGAGGATTAGCCTATTGAGCCACGGCGCCGGCTCAATAAATAAATCTTAAAAAAAATTTAGCCTGAATTCGTTAATCACACTAAAGGTTCTTTCCCTCACAAAAACTCTAGACATTGTAGATGCAAACTTTACAAAGCAATTGTTACCCAGTCTTCTCTGTGAGAGTAATTTTTGCTTAGAAGTCTCCAGAGGATTGGGCACTTTGCCCTGTGGGAAAAAAACCACCTGCAGGGGGTAGATTTTCTTTGTCTTTCCCTCCACAGATGATACAATCACAAATGAATGAACATACCACCTTCAATCATTTCACCAGTCTCCTGTCAGTCAGAAAGCATAAAACTCCCTACACCACAGAGGCAATCCAATACGCCCAAGCCTGGAACACTCAAAATGCACGTACACTCAGTGATGAATTACTTTTCTTTAGCTTGAAGCTAAAAAGGAGATCCCAAATTGGATTTTATAGCTTAGACGTTCCCTTCACATCTCTAAAATGTACCCCCCAAATGATATTTTGAGCACTTCACAGAAAGGATGCCAAATATATTCCTGTAGTGGAGAAGATTTTTTTTACATAAACTCAACCTAGAGAACATACCACAAATACCTTCCACTATCTTATCATTAAGCAAATTTTAAAAACTGACACAAAACAACATATTCTTCATGCTAATTAGGAGCTAAATTGAAATGATTGGTGTTGGATTCTGTGCTACAGTTTAAAGATTTTCCCATTGTACTCACTTCCATTTCAATGGAAAGATAGAATTTTGTTTACATTCGTACATTAATATACTCAACAAATATTTATGGAGTGGCTCTTATATGTAGGGGTCCTGAGCTGAACACAACTAGAGCAGTAAAAGAATGTTGCTCAGTTGCTCTCCTCTCGCTGATATGATTTAGAAATAGTCACTTGTTTAATCATCTCCTCTATTTATTTCCCAAGAAGATGGTTCTACACAGTAACTTTTAATACAATGTGTGTCAGGATAAAAAGCAGCATGCAATTATCCAATTTTCATCTACTTAAATTTTAATGACCATACTTACTTGCCCATTCAATTTTGCAACTTTTAGCCTGTAGGCACATAAGTAGCAGTTTGAGACCTGAGATTCTCCCAGTTTTAGTTCTAATGCCCATTGCTTTTTGGACCACTAATTATTTTGTAGTAGGTAGTTTCAGCTCAAAACAGCCTTCCATTTATACTCCCAATACTCATAATAATTAACAAGCATGCAATCCTTGATTTTATATTTAGAGACTGACAACCATGTACCGATATTGAATGTTTTACTACATCTTTCCCCTTAGGAACCTGATAAAATGAAGAGCTGGGTCATTGCTACCATACCTTTGGATCAACCAGGTGGTTATCCAAGCAATCAGCTAAGGCACCTAGACTGAAGCCCAGCGGATCCATTGTAACACAACCTGAGACCAGAGAGCACAGGCGAGTGGGTTGCAACCTCTTTCTCTGCAGTGTGCTCTGAAAAGTATATCCATGTCATTGCTTTCATGGTTTTTTGAAGGGGAAAGACCATGATTTAAGCGTTTCCATGCATAATCAATCAGATATGGACCCAGTACACATGCATTCAGCTGGTGCTATGCAAAGAGCAACACTTGCTCTGACTTACTGGCAGGAAACATTATCTCCACCAATTTGTTTGCCAAACTGTATCTGTGACTACCTCTGGGCCAATTAGATCACAGCACATTCATCCTATCAGAATCCAACATGCTCTGTGTTCACACATGTGGATGTGTTTATTGGAACTCAGCAAATGAACCATGATCATAAATTCAGCTCTTTAAAGACAACATAAATCAACTGAAAAAAAGTACTGATGATTAACAGCTAACAATTAGTGTATTATAAGTGTAATCACTGCAGACATAACTTTGGATGAAAGACACTATCACAAGGACGGGAAACTTGATCCAGAATAGGCAAGAAGTCAAAACACTGATGTCATGTATCCAACATAAAGATCATGGAGAGGATTGACTCATCATGGACACATGAGAAACTAGTATATTGGAGGATCCATATAGACATATTCCTATACAATAACCTACATGTGAAAATGAGGAGGTAGTAGCTCTAAAATATAAAGTCTTAAACTTTTAAATCTCTAAAAATTTCCCGTCCAATTGGATATAACTAGTTATTCAAGCATGCCCATACCTAAGTCCAAGGAGATAAGGAAATGAAATTCTACTATATGCCTCACTGTAGAAGCAGAATTATTTGATGGATGGTGCTGATGATTTTCAAAAGCACATCCACAGGGTAATGAACAGACTTAATTTTGAACTGGAATGTACTCTAACACTCCAACCTGACAAGTGATAAATAGCAAAACCTGGGCCAGCGCTGCGGCTCACTAGGCTAATCCTCCGCCTGCGGCACCAGCACACCGAGTTCTAGTCCCGGTCCAGGTGCCAGATTCTGTCCCGGTTGCCCCTCTTCCAGGCCAGCTCTCTGCTGTGGCCAGGGAGTGCAGTGGAGGATGGCCCAAGTGCTTGGGCCCTGCACTCGCATGGGAGACCAGAAGAAACACCTGGCTTCTGGCTTCAGATCAGCGTGGTGCGCCAGCCGCAATGGCCACTGGGGGGTGAACAAACGGAAGAAGAAAGACCTTTCTCTCTGTCTCTTTCTCTCTCACTGTCCACTCTGTCTGTCAAAAAAAAATAAAAAAAAAAGAAAAGAAAACATACTATGAAAAAAAAAAAAAAAGCAAAACCTATATGGCCAGACAACATCCTGAGTCCATTAAGAGGTGGCAGAACCAGCCTTCCTACCATCTTAATGACCATTACCCCCTTCCCACTCCACGCAAAATGATTGCCAAGTAGAGGAAGATGGAAGGGCACTTAGAGTGGTTGCCCTTACAAGCCCACTGTGTCAAGAAGAAATGGTGCCTCCCTCTCTCCTCCAAAGGTAAATAAATGGGTTGCTAAGAGAACCAGACATTGGTTTAGGAACACCTACAAGAAGGGAACACCAGTGATTCACAGCACTTGGCAGAGTTGTGGGAATCAGAGGCCCACATGGAGGGCATCACTAGGGAGCAGCAAACGAGGAAGACCTCAAAGAGCCTTGACATGTCCATTCTGGTTATAAATGTCATAGACAATGTCAGGTCTGGTGTCACACACCTGGTGTAGCAATTTTTGGGTCATGGAGGAAAACTGTGGAAATAGCCTTTGGCAGAATAGGAAGTCTGTGTAATACCCTTCCCTAGCTTCCCAGGGCCCTGAGACAGGAAAAAGAGAAACATAGCAGTGACAGGACTGTACGTAAGAAACAAAGAGATAAAAATTAGCAACACCCTATCCAGAGAGAGGGATAGAGACTTGGAGGATCATAAAGGATTTCCTCCCTCTAAAGGAGTCCTCAGCAAAGTGACACCCTAAAGAAACTCATATACCTTCCATGTAGAAGACAGTACTTTGGAAGGAACCATGAACATCAGATGAAATAAGACCAAGCAAGAGTGAAACGAGGGCCACCTCCCCTAA